AGAGAGAGAAAGGGAGATAGTCATTATGTGCTAGCTTTGTTATTGTTGCTATATATATATTTTTGATGTGTTTATAATACTAAAAGTTTTGCTAAACTTTGAAAGCTAAGCCTCGCCACGCCCCGGCGTAACGCCCCTCTGGTTATTGAGGTGCTGCATGCCTTTTGACATAACCATCACACAAGTCGGAAAACAAATATTTAAACTTAATTAACGCACCGCACACCCAGCGACAGCGGCAGAGGCAGAGGCAGCGGCAGCGACAGCGAGCCGTATGACCTAACCTAACCCAACCCCCCTCTGGACACACTCATCGACATTTCGTTACCGCTGCACTCCATTAATAGTTACACATAAACACACACACACACACACACACACATAAATACAAAATAAACAGCGAAAAGTATAGGCAGACCGAGGAGGCAGAGCGGGAGCGCGCAAGAGAGTAAAAGAGCGACCTCAATTATGAAAACCACGAGGTTTTACAAACAAGCATCAGGCTGCCTTAGAGCCTGGGCGCCCCTTGTTCTTTGTTCGCTTTGTTGTTGTTGCTGTTGCTGTTGTTGTTATTATAACTACTACATTGTTGTTGGCTGTCGGCTGTTGGCGACGAAGAATCAAACGCAAAACGCAAACCGAATTTTTGTGGCTCCTTTTACTTAGTCTCTACCGCTCTCGCTCGCACTCGCCTTAAGCGCCTTCCTCCGGCATCAGTTGTTGCCGGCGACTGTTTTCGGTTTGCGTTTTGGTTGCCATTTCCCGTTTACCGGTTGCTCGCTGTTCGCCTTTTGCTGTTGTTGTTGTTGTTCTTGTTGCTATTGTTGTTTTACTTGTGGTCTCACATTTGAGTTGTGTGCGTGAGCGAGTGCGTTTGTCATCAAAGGACTCTATGTAAATATAGCGAATTCGCTGTGTACTCACTCATGCATACACATATGCATATTCATAAGTCGAGGGCAGTTCAAAGAGTGGCTTCAGAAACGTAGTACTGAAGCAAGGTAAATAAATCTGACTTTGATTATCTATAAGCTTTACAATATATTATTCATATACAATACAATATATTGAAGAACATATTTTTCTTTATCAGAAATTTTTTTCTACAACATCGCCATGTCTTTGAGCTGACCTCGCTTTAGCTTTTTCTTATTTATTACAATCTTCAAAAGGCGAAATACTTGGAATTTATTGTATCTAATATCAAACACCATATCCTTTCAATTTATTTATAGATAACCGAAGACTGTGGCAACCCACATGCATACATACATACGTATGAGTTATATATGTATATGTATTTGTACACATGCACAAAACCAAACAATGTTCACATTTGACGACACTGGCGAGCGACACGCGACACAAGCAGTAAAATAACACACGCACACTCACACACTCACTCACTCACACCCTCGCACACCCTGGCTAACCTGCGTGTAAAATATTAATCACGCATGCAATACAAACAAAAATTGGACGTAAGCTGGCTAAAGGCTTTCCGATCTAACGATTAGGCAAATATACTTTCATTGGGATCATTAGCAGATGGCTAAGAAACCGACTAAGGCTCTAACTCGGTAATTTCATAGTTTATTCAATGAAGCTATTCAAGCAATTTAAGGTCAGGTCAGGTCAGGTCAGATTGTTTTCTTGTATTTTTTTAAAGAATTTTACTTTACTTACATATGTACATTAAATATTTAGAATGATGAATGAATTGAAAATTTGAATTATTAAAATAGCTAACTTTAATACAAATAAACTGCTTATATCTTCAGACGAAATCGATGCTAAATCTTGTATTTCCCAAATACATATATATGTACATGCATCTAAATATGTATATAAATACACATATATATTTTTTTTCCTTAATCGTTAATGAACATGTTTCACAGAAATAAGAAATTAATAAAATAATGAAATGCTCAAATATGTATATATTCCCGTTTATTTAACCTCAAGGCTTATTTTAAATGCAAAAAGTCAACGGCCAACCTGCAAGCACTGCCAGTTTTCTGTTTAAATACAATTAAAAACAAAATTTCGTTGCACACCCTTGCGGGACGACAGCTTCGGGCAAATTTTTAAAAATTTGGGGTCAACAAGCAGCAGAAACTCCAGACAGCAGCTGATCCATACACACTCGCATATTATTCCCATTCCTTTCTCTGCTCGTGAAGAAACATATGATATGAGATCAAAAGCAAGTCTGATAATGCCAGCCGCCGAAAAGTAAATATTCTCTTGATCTCGAAACTGTAAGGGCCGCGCTATTATTATTTGCATTTCTTGTGCTCTTTTAGCACAAGCATATGAAACGGGATCAAAAGCAAGAGCGATAAAGGTGGCTATAATTAACTGAGTTATTACTCATACTCTTATATACAGCAGCCGACCTAACATACATATTTATATATATGTAGGTAAATCCACAGCTTGTGCTCTGCTCTTGCATAATGATGTGTAACGAGGTCAAATGCAGGAGCACTAATGGGCACTGTAAGCAGCTGACTTGCCTTCTATGCTCTTTACGGCTTTGCTGTCAATTGATTACTATAAGAGCTGTGAAGCATACCTAACGACGAGCCACTCGTACTCTTTACTCCTTGAAACGGGATAAGCAGAAAAAGCGATATTTCTTGCTGTCGAAAAGTAATTGAGCCACTCACACTCACATTATGCATATTATTTGTGCTCCTTTATCTCAAGCAATGCAAGAGCAACAATGGCATACATCGGTTACTTAATTATTTTCTATGCTCTCAATTCTAACGTCGATATACTCGCACTCTCATATTGTCCACATTCCTTGCTCTACTCTTGCATAAAAATGTGAAATAAGATCAAAAGCAAAAGCAATAATGGCGACTGCCGACAGCAGAGCTACATACATACATACATATCTCTTCACAGAAATCGCTCTGTGAGTGAAGCATGCCTAGCAGCCGATTCACTCAAACTTACATGCTCCATATATTCGTTGCTCTACTTTAGCACATACGTGAAACGGAACTACAACAAAGAGTGCGATTCGCCTTCTGCTCAGCTCTCAGCTGTGCAGCCATCTCACTCTCACTCTCACACACAACAGCACTGCGCACTCTGCAGTGCGAACGTAGAGAACGGGATCAGCAAAATAGCTGAGCTATCTCTTTTACACTCAATAGAATAATTTACTCAGTGGATAAACACTTGTTGCCAGCTCTGTGAGCCGCGCCTTGCACGCATGCACACACGCATTTCACAGTGTTTATTTATTTTCGGATAATATTTATTTAATTGCGCGCAGTCAACAGCTGTAATATCGGTATCACTTATTTTTAGATTTCGTTGCTTTTAAAGCTATACATTTGTTATATTCTAAAACTCTATTAATAAATAAATTGATTGCGTTTAAAAGAATTTCTTCCTCTTCACAACGAGAATAATTATGCCTAAAACACACAGCAGCCCAAGCAGAGCATAACCAATGTAGGCGAGCCATTTGAGATTGCCCGATCCATTGGCATCCTTGACAACATAGTCCCGCGCTATACAGTTATACGCTAATGAACTGCAAAATACTTGACAGTTGTCGCCTTTTGTAATGCACTTGACCCAGTCGAAGCAGGGCTTCGTATGATCATCCGCACAGAAGTTCAAGCAATTCGCTGAGCTTAGTAATTCCAGGGATGTTCCGTTCCGGAACCAGCACTGACATCTATTTCTACATTTATCCAAAATCTTTGGAATGTTATCAACGTCCGCGCCTCTGACCGTTATCAGCGACAGCAATGCCCAGAGCCAAGCATGTCGCAACATTTTTGAACAGTCGATGAAGTGACAGGCAGCACGATCCAAACCCAACTGAACTCAGCGACCATCCAACTTCTTCTCGCGTAATTCCCGATAAGCCAGCTGTGGCTACAGAGTAACGAATATGCTTCCAGTAAATATACGGGTCATTGGTTCATAATGAGATATAAATATATATGTATTATATAATATAATACATATTTATTGTATAACAGATAATTATAACTTCTGCTTTATATATACATATGTATTTATGTTATATTATTTATGTTATATCAATATATTATAAATACAAGAAATTGTAATTGATAACGAACGAGAGGAGATCTTCACTCTTCAGACAATTATTAGCCTCGTTTTCTATAATAAAGCATAATAAGATACGAATTGTAAGTGATAAAGGCAGAAATACAGTACATTCATATGTATGTATATAAATATGTTTGTACGAAGATTTCTTGAAACTTGAACTCGGATGGTAAGTCGTGATAAGAGGGTTTTCTGAAAAATCTGAAAAAATGTGCCAGGTTTTCTTGAAGTCGATCCTTGAATATGATTCAAGAATTTCTTAGAATATTTTCCTCAATGTAAAACCTTTTGCAGAAATTGGAATGCATATATTTAATACATATATTTATAGATTCTCTCTATAGACAATTTTGCCTTAGTTTATTCAGCTGCACGTACTGCCCGCATCCAAACGTTGATGCCTTTTAGAGTATTTCAAATTGTGGTTTTGCAACTGCTGAGCTAACTTTTTGATAAGCATGCGACATGTGAAAGAGTGAGAGAGAGAGAGAGAGGGAGAAGAGGAGCAGAGCTAAAGAGTAGGTGTGGAATTGGATGCTTGGCGTAATTTTAGCCACATTTTTGTCAGGTATGTGCACATTAATTAGTTTGATTTAAGTTGAGATGTGGCCTGTTGACGAGCGACTCGTCTGTCTATTTGCCCGACCAGCCCCTGCCCGAGCAGCCCCTCCCCCAATGCCTTTAGCTCCAACTACTACCCTTTTATGCACATTATCTGTTTACTTTTGCATGTTGTGGTAGGGCAGAGGAGGTTGAGTAGGGCTGGTTGGGGCCGGGAGGGGGGCCAAAGTGGGGGTCTTAAAAACTGCGCAAACTGTTAACGTGCGTCCATTTAGCTTTACCAAATGTGTGGGTCGGAAGGGGTTTTGCGGTGAGCGTGCAATGAGGGGTTATGCAGGGCGTGAGGCGGGGGGCGTGTCTGGTTTGGTTTGAGTTCTTTGTGCTCGTTAAAAAATTTTCGCGTTTCATTTCATGCCGCCCAAAAGGAAAGCCCAACAACTGCCAAATGCGGTCGAGTGGTAAAAAGAGAAAGAGAGCACAAAAGCGCACGAGAGCGAGAGGGAATGAGCGGAGCGAAAGAGCGAGTCATACAGTGTTTGATGTGATGTGTTGTGTGGGACCATAAAAAAGCTGACGAAATATGTGCTTGTTGTACGCCCGTCCATCCGCCCGTTCGTCCATTCGTCCGTCCGTCTGTACAACACTCTCCATGCATATTTGGAGTCCGTTCGCCGCTCGCGCATGCCCCTCCTGCAGGGTATTCGAGCCGGCGAGCAACACATAATTGCGGCATAGCCGAACCAGCTGAATGCTTATCAGCAAAAAACTAACGTAAAATATTTCCATCTCTCTTGTTAGCATCTCTGTGTTTTTTGTTTTCTTTTTTATAAGATTTTTTACTGCATAATTTAGAGTATCTCTTCTGTTTTGCTATTCTGTCTGTAATTTTCGTACAAAAACAGGGCGAGATAGTTTATTAAACATCTCTTTTGACGATTTATATTATTTTTTAAGTTTACTAATTGCTGACTTGCATACATCTTATGAATATTCCATGCATATTGTATTTGCTTTATATTATATATAATTAGAAGCTTTCTTTCATATATTCTTTGCCTTTCAGTTTTTTTTTTCTGTATCGAATATACATGTATCTATATAAAATATGTGTTTCCGCTCTTTATAATAATTGTAATAAATATAAAGAGTCTATCAAATTTT